CCCTTTAAAGTTTTTTGAACTCAACTCAGAACTGAATTAAATTTATCAGCTAGGACAGACCTTGAAATCTTTGTGGCCAACTGATAAAATTCAAAAATTCTGTTTGTCATTTGCTTATGATAAATGATTACGTGTTTGCTTTTGGTGTTTTTATCACAGAAATGTTTGATAAGAATTAACCTTATAATTAGCGGGCTTTTTATTTCAAATGATGGCTGGAACATTTTCAAATTTATATAGTATACATATAGCATATAGATAGACCAATTTTTATGACGTTTAGACGGTGGCATGATTATGGCCCAATATCAGGCCAATGACGTTGGCAGCTGAAGGAATATTGGTAAACACATGCCAGACTCTGTGCCGCACATTATTAAAATAGAGCCTTACGCTCGATTAGTGAGACCCAATAGTGCCCATAAATGACGGAATTGGAGTAGTATTACTGAGAATCAACAGCTCTGTAGATCTATTTATAAATATGATCTGATATGTTTGTGCTTTCTTGTAGGTGGCGCGGAAGTATTTACAAATTAGTCTGGCTGGATCTGTTGGCCTTCCTCACATTATATTACCTACTTAATCTGGTCTATCGGTTTGCGCTCAATGAGGCCCAGAAAGAGTAAGTGAAGCTTGAATGTCTACGCTAGTGCACATACTTATTGTAGTCTATTTGCCATGTAGAACCTTTGAGGCGATCGTCGCCTATTGTAATAGTTATCGTGATCTCATACCGCTGTCTTTTGTGCTGGGTTTCTATGTATCCATTGTGATGACTCGCTGGTGGAATCAGTACACCTCCATTCCCTGGCCGGATCCCATCGCCGTCTTCGTCAGCTCCAATGTGCACGGCCAGGACGAGCGTGGTCGAGTCATGCGTCGCACGATCATGCGCTATGTGTGCCTCTGCCTGACCATGGTGCTGGCCAATGTGTCGCCGCGCGTCAAGAAACGGTTTCCCGGCCTCAACAATCTGGTGGAGGCGGGCCTGCTCAACGAGAACGAACGCACCATCATCGAGACGATGAACAAATCTTTTCCCAGGCCCTCGAAGCACTGGCTGCCCATTGTCTGGGCGGCGAGCATCATTACGCGCGCTAGGAAGGAGGTAATAATAGAAAG